CTCATTTTACTAAGCACTGCTTAAGTATTTTATTTATCTAATTTAATTAACGAACATGTGTGATTTGGTTTTCACTCGTGTCTTTGTTTCAAATCTAAAAATGAAAGTGAAACCAAACTCTTGAACGGCCTCGATGAAGGATTTGTCGAACTGCAATGTCAGTGTCAACACAAACTTCAGTGTTCAGTTTCCAACAACACACAGCGCAACCGTCAGTAAACAGATGCAGCGCGACCTCAGAGGAATTCTGTCACTGTGGCAAACATGTCAGCAACCTCGTCATGTCTATATATATACATTTATATATATATAAAGCTGCAGCCAGTGGCAGGGAAGCTGTTACAGTTCAATGTGTCATGATATGAGACGGCAAAACAACAGGACAGAGTGAGACTGAATCAGATACCTGCAGTCTGTCTAGTCTTTGTGGTAAACACGATAACGTCTTCATCAACTGCAGACTCCATAAATATCTCACTGGAAACAGGGAGTTCGCTGACGGGAAGACAGGTCGGTTTCCCCTGCGAGCGTAAACCAGCCAGGGTTGTCATTGTTGTGTTAATTGAAATTCCTTCACACAGCGGCGATCGGATGGTCAGCTATAATGTCACTGGAAACAATGACAGTTGGAGAGCGTCAGCCGGTCCAGATCCACTGAGGCTTGTACGCAAAGGTCGGAGGGATCGGACCAGTCTGATCCAAGCACAAACTGACCGTAAATGAGAGCATCAAAAATCCACTTCAGCAGTCAGTTCAGCTCCTCTGCAGATCATTAAAGCTGCACAAATCCATATTTCTAAGTAACGACAGATCATGACTACATGTAAAAGCTTTTTGTGCTAAAACTGCAGAAAGTTCTGACCTCATTCTGCAGTACAGAAAGCCAGAGCGTCCTTTAGCGTCCTTACACTCCTTGCTTTGATTTTGGTTGACCTTCATCGCTCTCCATAATGTCGTTAGCATCATTCCTGCGTGAGATGATCAAAAAGAGACGTATAAAAACCAGCAGGCAGGTTGTTGGAACAAAAAGTCAAAACTTTAATCAAAAAGAACTTACAGATGTGAACTAACAAAGAGCAGCTGCTGATCCAGGACACAATAACTGCAAATGTGAAGAAACGGATCCAAAAAACATAAAAACTGTGTGGCTGGCAGGTGGGGAACATTATTTTAAAAATCTAAACTTACAAACTAGAGTCTAATGAGGAACATGAGGAGAACCAGGCGGGTCAACGAGAGGTCGGCGAAAAGGTAAAAACAAGATTTGAAATGATAAAACAAGATAAAACAAGATGCAGGACTTTATATACAGAGAGAACTAATGGGAAGACAAGTTTAATCAGAAAGGGAGGGAAAACAGACAAAAGGAGGAAGTAAGACAACAAGAGAAACAAGGACAAAGATCTTCACAGATTAGAACTCAAGACAATTTCATTAAAACCAGGCAGCTGTTCTCAATGAAACAGCTCTGATGAACCCACTGTGTCACTCCTGCTCAGCACCAAACAGCAAACTTAGCAACGAGCTAATGAGTAAAGAAAAGTTTTAAGCTGCTGAAGAGTCGGTGGAGACCAAAGCAGAGAGTGTTGAATCACCAGGTGGATACAAACATGACTCCATGGTGATGCTTGTGGTGCACCAAGCTGGTAAACTTTATATGATTACATGATAGTCTTGTCTTCATATTTTGTTTTTTGTTGCCTTTAAGTGGCCAAAAAAATCTGTACATGTGGATTTAGATATTATTAGTATGTATAAGAGCAGTATGAGTAATATGGGCTTATTTTTTGAATCTAATTTCTGTTGCCCTGCTTAGAAAAATGGGACATTTAACCAAAAAGTTTACAAGCTGTTCAACTGGTGATAAACTCTCAACCTTTAAATGAATCCACAGCCTGGTCAGGTGTGGCTTTAAAGGACAATGATCACATAGTGAGACCAGCACACAGACACTTCCTGTTAAGACCACCTTAAAATACAGCTTTACTTAAAATGACACAATGAACTGGTTGTTGACATAATGGATGCTGGATGTCAGTCGAAACAAGTAGCCAGACACTTGAACATCCACAACTCAACCATGTTTGGTGTAAGAAATCATTTCAGACAGCCTGATATGACACAGGACTGCAAGGTGGCTCGGTGGATAGCACCGTTGCCTCACAGCAAGACGGTCGCCGGTTCGCATCCCGGTGAGGACACCAGGATCTTTCTGCATGGAGTTTGCACGTTCTCCCCGTGCAGCGTGGGTTCTCTCTGGGTTCTCCGGCTTCCTCCCACACTCCAAAAACATGTTGAGGTTAATTGATGATTCTAAATTGTCCGTAGGTGTGAATATGAGTGTGCTTGGTTGTCTGTCTACATTTTCAGCTGTACAGAGCAGATGACAGATGTTGTGTTTGGCGTCTTACAGGGGAACGCTAGAGGAAGTCAATGACATACGGAGAGGGAACTATGGAGGTGGCAGATGGGTGGCATGAGCAGTGATATGCCGAAGAACACGTCTGCATTTCACTGATGGAAATCTCAACGTCAAGCTGAAATCCTCACACCCATGTTGATCCTGTCAGTTTGCTGTCATCACTTTATGTTTCAACAAGACAATATCCATCCTCACGTCTCTGGAATCTGATCTTGGCCTGCATATCGTCCGGACACGTCACCCATCTGACGTCCGGTCTGGACGTCCAACAACACGATCCCGTCTCCCAAAAATGTCACTGAGGCGAGAAGTGGAGCAACATTCAACAAGCAGCATCGACAATCTAAATAACTTTGAGGTGTGACTCAGTTGTGATTTCTGGTCTGTGACTCCACTCCTCATCTGTCATCTCCAATACAGTCGTACTTGCTTGTTTCATAACGTCTGTGTTCTGTTGTAGCTAAAAAGAACCAATAGACTTTAATAAAACTTCTTCATGAAGGCTTTCCGTGTTATACTAATGAGTCCTGTGGGTATAGAAATAGTAATGACTCATTTGTTGTTGCTGAATTTAGCTGAATGTCCGTGAGACATTTCAATGGGAGCGGCTCGACGAAAAGTTCATTTCAGCACATTAATGCCAACTACGTTTAACGGCGACAGGATTTTTTTTTCAGAGCAGGATAGTGAGCTGTTCTGTTTATTCAAGCGTCTCTCTGAAAGTTTCTGTGATTTCTCGTCGATCTTAATGCCCCGAGCTGACATTAATACCCCCCCCCCCACTTAAAAACACACATACACACCTCTGTGCTTCAGATCGCTGCCAAGTTGGTTAGTTATATAACCTGTAAATGAGAAGGTCAGCACCCAGCAGTCATCGCCATGGATACTTGGCTCGGACGCACACTCACACACACACACGCACACATGCATGCGCACACACGCTGCGTACATCTTGGCTGGTCCACTTTGCAGCCACATGTGTGTGTGATAGTGCGTGGATCAGAAGTAGGGCAGCAGCAGCAGCGTTACCTAACTCACCCAGAAAAGACATCTGGGGAGTTTGAGCAGAGCCCCTCTCGCTGATTACAGCTTCCTGTGCACGAAACACCATCAATCACACACACATGCAAACATCGACTCACCGGCCATTTATGCAAACGCACAAACATTTGGCCACACAAGGAGAGAAAGTCTCACTAAGTCAGAGGTACGAGCCAAGAGAGTACAGTGAGTGTGTTTGGTAATGTTTTATGTTTTACTATGTGAGTAATCAAATAAATCAATTTAAAGCTATCAGTCTGATTAGATTTATGATCATCAGCTCGAGCGGCTTCACTCCTGTCTTGAGTTTGTTCAGTCCTTCCTGCATATTCTTCGAACGCAGCGACTTTCTCATTATAATAATTCAATAGAGTTTTATTTGTATGGCGCCAGTTCACAGCATAAGTCATGTCAGGGCACCCACAGTATTACATTAGAGGGAGAAACCCAGAGAAGGCAGGGATTCTCTCTGAGCAAATAGTTTGGAGGCAGTGAGAAGAAAAAAACTGTTTGAGGTGAGATTACAGATAATATAAGATAAGATATGCCTTTATTTATCTCACAGTGGACATTCACATAGCTAATATATACAATACATGCAGGATTGTGGCCCTCGAGGACTGGAGTTCGAGACCCCTGATCCAAAGTGTCAGTTTATTAATTAGACATAACCAACTTTACTTTTACTTTACCCAACATTTCTACAACTTTAATATTTGTTCAAAAAGGACACTGGACTTGATGTCAGTCAGCACTGAGTGTGAGCTACAGGCCTGGTAAAGTTTAGGAACTGTGCTGGAAACAAAAATAAAGAAATGAAGGAATTCATGGAGATCAAAAAACATAAAAATCCTTTACTTGGCAAAGGAGAAGATATAAAAACCATGCTAATGCCTTCCTCTAATGGACACCGTGATTTATTGCACATTAAAGACGTTTTGACCTTCAGATTAAATGGCTGAACTTAGTGGTTGGTAGAATATTAGATTTACTTTTAATTTTATGAAGCCAATCATCTTCCCTGAACAAGAATTTTTAATGTTTTGTTGTTGTTTATCTTCCTTTTTTTCTCTTTGCATTTGTAATTTGACTCGATGAAGGCTGCTCAGTGATCCACAGAGGATGAAGAAAGTTTGAATAAATCAATGTGTTTCCATTATAACCCCAACTGGAAACTGGAAACGTGGAAAACTGACAGGTGAGGAAACAAAACACAAAGAAAAAAAAAGCTGATATAATTTGTTCTTTACTCCACATTTTATGTACAAGACAAATTCTCAAAAAGGCAATACAAAATAAAACAAAATGCATGTTTACATGTTTAGTTACGGTAAAACAGAGATTAAACTGATACAGAGGAAGCCGTGACTCTTCTTTTTCCTGCAGTGATACTTTGCATCCTGAACTCCAAGTGATTAAGAATCTTTATACTGATTTATGTTTCATTTACAAATCATGATCCACGACAAGCTCTGCGACATGACAACGCGCTGGAAAAAGTATTAAAAACACAAGAACGTGACGATGATGATGATGATATCGATTCCTGAACAGCAGCAGACTTTTTTTTGGAGACGTTTGTAGTTTTCAAAATATCAAAAGAGGAAAAAATTGAAAGTAGAATTTACACTGACAGCCTGGAACATGTGGGACACTCTGCACTCGCTAAACACAACAAATATTATTAGTTTAGTGTCTGTAGATCAAGTCAGGAAGTAAAATGCAGAAGCCGGAGGGAAAAGTGGATCAGAGATTTGGACCAAAACTCAACACCAGCAGCAGCCACTTCTGCCCGTTTTTTCTTCGATGTTTTCCCATTTAAGTCGTCGGACCGTGAAGATTTTCCACATTCCTCGTATTGCTGCCTTAAAATAAACACAGAAGCACTGGCAGAGACAGAGCATCCATTCATCCTGCAGACAGAACAAATGAATCTCAAACCCAGAAGATTTATTCCATCTTTCTATAAAATAACGTCTCCTTCTTCCCTTTCCTGAAAAGTTTGTGATATCGAGCGGACTCATCTGAGTTAGATAAAAGTTAATATTTTACTGCTGTGAGGCTATTTTCTCTCATTCAGGCACCGTTAACATACTAAGACTGCTGAAAAAACACGGATCCACTTTCAAGTAGGACGCTTGAACTCTCGGGATCCTACTGCACAACATAAAGAAAGGACTTAAACACAGTCTGTCTTCAGCTGTGTGATTGGACGTTTTGCACCAATCAGAAGCCTGGAGGCAGGAGAATAAGAAATTTGTGTGCAAATGCATTCTGGTCCATTCAGACCCTTTCAGATCTGACCCACTTGGGCCTGCTTGGAGCCAACTCGGGGCCGTGTACCAGACCTTACCTAACCCCTGGCCCGTCACTGGACTATCTGGGGCATCTCGCTCCAGGCTTTGGCCTTCTTCTTGGCCAGCGCCATCCAGGGGGGCTCGTCCTGGGGCAGAGCCGAGGGCGGCAGGCCTCGCTGGGAGGACGCCGTCTGTCCGGAAGGCCCCGGAGCTCTCGTGGCAGACTTTTCCGGGGAGGTTCTGGATGAAAACGGAGGGGAGGTGACCGGAGACGTCTTAGACGGGGAGGCGGCTTTGGAGAACGGGGTTGGGCTCGTGTAAGAAGGAGATTTCGGTAGAACGGGGACCGGGGTTGGGGCTGATCTTTGGGGCGGGGCAGGCTGTGGTGGAGGTTTCGCTGCGGTGGGGGGCAGCTGGGGCTTCGGGGCGACAGGGCACGGAGGCGGCTGGGACTTTGAAGGCTGAGGTGGCACCGGAGCTGGAGGAGACAGAGGCCTCCGGGTGTCTTTTTCTACAGACGGTTTACTGAACTCCAACGGACTCACTGGAAGAAGAAACATGAACACACATGAACACAATGAAAACTAGAGTCCTGAAGTCAAGCATCAGACTGATGCTGACTGACTTTTTGATTGTTATTAATAAACTCAGTGACCTTAGATTTAGAGATGCAATGTGAGTAAATGGATAACTGAAAACCTTTTTTCATTACGCTTTAATTATAGTTTAAGAAACTTTTTAAAGCTCATCTTAAAGCTGACGTGGAGTTTATACTCCAGCCTGACTGATATGAGCAGAGAAACATCATTATCTGTGTATGTCTTCTCCTCTATGTGCTGATATCAAAACTTCTTTTCACAAAATATAACAGAACAAGATGTTTCGTGTAGTTTACAAACTGTGTTTTAACACAGATGGCTCACAAACTGTTGGCAGCACATGTAGCAGAGTGAGTATCACTACGGAGTCATGTCGTGTCTTCACAGTCAGTTGCTAACTAGTTTGTTAAATACATTGCTGGAAAATTAATAAACAATGTCTGACCCTTTTCAGTAAAACATAGTGTAGGGTCTATATGTATATAAAGATTTCTGACTGATTCATTGATATTACCACTTTCTGTAGGGCTCTATTTTGTACTATATGGAGATTATAAATAAAAAGTACTGTGGGGCCTCTAGTTTATTTAATATATTCCATTCATTAACTCAAAATATAGTCTGTACTGTATATGTCACAAATACAGTAAATGTCTGTGAGAGGTTTGTTAGATGTAAAAAATTACGTGCAATTTTATATATCAATTGTTTGAGCAGACATGTGTCATTTAAAACAGATTCTTTCACGAATAGCTAAAAAAAAAATAAGCAAGAAAATGCTAAATTTAAGGCACAAATAGACGCACTTTGAGTATGTTGAGATAACAGTGAGCAAAAAGGCACAAAACATATATACAGTAGACAGATAAAGTGTGATAAATCAGTGTGAATCAGACGGTGTGTGTTATGACAGTAACTCAAACAGAGTATTCATGTAACATGATCAAATGTAATTATGTAAATGAGTTTAAACCTTGGAATTGAATTGGACCATCTGTAGCCAATAAGGAAAAGCCTGACATTTAAAACTTCTGTTTAATTGCTGTGTGCATGTTATTATGTTATGTTATTATGTTATGATGCATGTTATCAGCTACCACAGAGAATTTACACAGCGGAGGTTAAAATGTTATGTCAGGGTTGCAGTAGCAGAAGTTGACCAGATGGGGGCAGCATTGCATCAGTGAAAGCTGCATTTGCGTGCAACAAGTTGAGATGCTGCACAAAGTGCTCTGTACACACGAATCATACCTACAGGTCATGACAGCGATATTTACTGCATAGAATGATCCCTTCAAGCATGTTCTAACCAACTCCAAAATAACTAAAATTCACAATCTGTTTTTTAACCTAATGTGCTAGTAAGAGTGCCATTTACTCAAATATATCAGACTTTTAAAAAAAAAATAAAATTATGGTCAGAAATGATGGAAAATGCATACATATCTGTCCAATAAGGTAACAAAACTGATTGTGGATAGCTCATGTTTACTCTCATGCATAATGATCCCCCCAAAGGCCGATTCTGGAAAAACCCTGGTCGTTTATATTGCTAAGCACTTTTAAATTCACATTTTAGTTTGACAAAACAAGATAAAGTTCACTGAAATGGAAAGTTTTATAAATTGGTTTTGGTCATTCAGTATCTTTCAGAGTTTCCAATCCAAGCCTGTGTGTGTGTCTGTTGGTGTGCGCTGACCTTTGGCTGTGGATTCAACGCTTTTGTTGCTTTGCTCTTTGCTGGCTGCTGAGCTGACGTACATCGGCAGCGAAGACTTCCTCTCTTGTTCCTCCTAAAGACAAAGTGCAGCAGCAGATCAGCCAGTTATGCAGATGATGGGGCTGGAAATGTGTGGTGATGGACTAAACAGCTCATTCAGGTGCACTTCCATCCAAATCATGTGTTTTTAGCAGGTTGGAGAAGAAAACCTAAACACGTACAATCTACCTTCTTCACATTTCTAGAAAACTGCTCCTGTGTTGTACTCAGATGTTGGCTACAAGACAATCACCACTTTATGGCTTGGATAAAAAATACTACATATACCGTATAATGCCTGTGACAGAATACTACGACTGTATACTTTCTTCATGTCTGTTTATTTTGATGATAATCACAGAGACCTGAGTCGATTAGATTACCTTCTTGACACCAATCTCCTCCAGCGAGTTCTCTTTATAGATCTTCTGTTTCTGTTTGGCCACAGAAATCCAGCTGGGAGACTCGGATCCAGCAGAAGCACTCCGGCCTGCAGCTGGGTCTGGATCGATAACACAGCAGAAACACCGTTACACCGCTGAGCGTACCAGAGGCTGCTCTTATTTCACTTTCCCAACTTTTGGCTGTTAAACCTGAGCAGATCATACGTAGAGAAAACCTTTGCTGAATAAAGTGACTGTATGCGTTTTTGTGAATGTGAACACACACCTGAGACACGTTTCAGTTTCGCTCCACTGTCTCCGGTTACGTCTGGTTTCTTAGGGAGGGCAGGCTTGTTGCTGATTGGCTGCGGTAGGGAGGGCTTAACGCTGATTGGTGGTGATTCGACTTTACAGCTGGTTGGCTGAGTCGGCGATTCAACCGAAGGCTGGATGACACACACACAAACAGAAAAATAAAATTAGACAATAAAACAGAACTTTTAAGCTCTCCTAAACGTAACACATAATTGATTTTTCATTTGGCCACATGGGGGCAGTAGAGAGCTGCTAAAAAACACAAAACAGTTTGCTTTAACATGGACTTGAGCATTCCTGTTATTGAGCTTTCAGTTTGTGTGTTTACTCGTGTGAGCATTACATCCTGATTTCATAATCTTGGGTAAACCCCTATCCTGGTGTTGGGAAATACAGTTTTGCTGGCTGAATACTCCAGAAAACCGGCATACTGTTGTACGTATACATCCTATAGTGACCTCTGATTGCTGCTGACGACCCGTGAAGGCACAACTTCAGCGGCACAATCCTGAATCTGTGGCCTACACACAGGATAAACATCCATAACACCCAAACTGTATCATAGATTAACTGATTATCCATTGATAATACTGCAGTTAGTCAGAAAATTTGGAAATTTATGACACCTGTTGATGTAAACAAATGATCTGGCCTCGGTTCACGCCTTGTTGTGTCTGTTTAAATGCTCTTAAATGGTTGATTTAACCTACAGTCTGCTGCATTATGCTTCACAGACAAGACAACTTCGGCTTCTTGCAGAAACTCTCAAAGCTGAACATCTGCACTGATTATAAAGACGGCAGTTTAATGTAAGAGACAACACAGTGTGGGTTCATCACCTCTGCGTTTTCCTCCTCTGAGCTGAAGCGAAGCAGAGCTGACGTCTTCCTCAGCCGGACTCCAAACGGATTGTCGGGGTTTCCCTCCACGACCACAGAGCTCTCTGCAGGAGGGACGACGATGGAAAGAGGTTTTTTTGTGTGATTTAGCTCACCTCCTGTCGCTTAGATTAGGACACTAACACAGGCCAAGAAACACATATGCGTCTTAATGTTTACCTCTGAATATGTTTCCTACCTTCTGTGTTTGCAGCAGCAGAGGCCTGAGGTTTAACCGGCACCGGCGTTGCATTGTTTTGTGGTTTGGCAGCGACGCTTCCTGTATTCCTGACTCTACCGGGGCTCAACACCATCTCAGCCTTCGGCTCATTTGCTGGCTCTGGTTTGACGACTGGTTCCTCCTTAGCTGCAGGTTCCACCTCTTCACTTTGGGGTCCAGGGAGGGCAAAAGACGAAGAGACGGAGGCAGGTGGGGAAGGAGGAGGCGTGAGGCTTTTTGATCTCTGCCAGGCCGGAGCGATGGTGAAGCGAACTTTGCTCTGATCCAAACTGGAGGGCGGCTGGTTGACCGTTTCCTCCACAGATGCAGGAGATGCAGCTTCAGGTTCCTGGATGGTCCGCTTGTCTGGTTCTTCCACAGAGTCGGATGGTTCTTCATGTACAGATGCAGTGTTTGCTTCTGTGGAGTCATGAGCGACACTTTCACTGGGATGTGCAGCAGTCGGAGGCAGCTGAAATGAGGATTTCTCTGAGCTGGGAGAGACCAGATTGATGTGGATGGTGCTGGTCTTGCTGGGACTGATGGCCCCGCTGTCTTGTGGATGACTCTCATCATGTGACTCTGGGAGAAACAAAGAAGGCGGCTTGGAAGAAACAGGAGCTTGTTCTTCAGCTGGGTGCTTCTCAACCTCTTTCGTCTCTAAATGGGAGATTATTTCTCCACCTTTCTGCTCTCTGTCCTCTTCAGTTTGATCTACATCAAGCTGCTTTGCTTCCACATCTTCCTCTTGCTCTGATTTCTGATCCATGAGGCGGACCTGGACGTCCTCCTCGGCTCTTTCTTCTCCATCCTCCCTCTCATCTTCAGAGTCTTGGTTGACGTTTTCTTGTTCTTCCTGCTCTAACGCGAGTTCTTGATCACACGGCTCTGTTGGGTCGCCATCCTCCTCACCGATTATTGGTTTTGTGGCGTCATCTTCAAGCACAACACCTTCATCCTCCTCCTGCACCGGTGTGGCACTTCGCACTTCTTCATTCTGTGCATCAGAGAGCATCTCAGGCATCTCCTCTGCCTCTTCGTTCTCTTCTTCCATGGCTTCCTCTGCTTCCTCCACCCCGTTCCCTTCATTCATCTCCACCTCCTCATAGTCGTCATCTTCCCTTTTCTCCTCCACCTCTGGCTCCTTCTCCGGCTCTATCTCCTCTTCCTCACTCTTCCCTTCCTCTTCTTGTTTTCCTGCCTGGCTGATTGGTTGTCTTGTATGCATATCATCATCATCTTCTTCTTCTTCTTCTTCTTCCTTGGACTTGACTTCCACTGCCTCCTCTTTGTCTCCTTCCTCGACATTCTGGAAGACAAATGAATGAAGGGGGAAAAGAAGGCAACAAATATGAGCTATTCAAATGCCGACACCTGTTTGTAAATAACATGCATAGAGATTTAAGAAACTTTGTAATCCAGGTCATGATCCTAGGAGCTTCAGTAAAGAGCAGCCGGACTTCTCTTTTAGGTTCTTGAGATGTTTGACCTCTTATTCAAGGCTTCTTCAGTTGGAGAGGCTCTTGGATGAAGGTTGAAATGTCTTCAGAAAGAAAAGTCAAGTTTCTTTTTTACTAAAGCTCCTGGGATTGATCATCTTGTTGGGAACGCCATCGACCTTCCCCAGCAGGAGAATGGACTCTGTCACGTTACAACAACTGCTCAAGGAACACGACCAAGAGCCCAACGCTTTGACCCAGCCTCAAAACCCGTCAGATCTCAGTTCGATCAAGCATCTGCAGGATGAGATGTAACAAGCCTGGATGCACTGAGGCCCACCCGACAACCCACAGGACCTAAAGGATCCACTAATGGTGCCAGACACCACAGGACGCCTCCAGAGGTCATTGGCTGCTCAAGGTAGACCTACACATTATTGGGCCCTTGGTTTCAAAGTTGTGGCTGATTGGTGCACGTGTAAAAGAACGTTTGTACTTATATCAATCCACTAAAACTTTCAGATGTTTCAGTCTTCTGGCCTGCCCACTTATTAATATATGAGGTGTGTCAGAAAAGTTCAAGGACTGGTGTCATAAAAGATAGATTTCAAATCCAAACTACAAACTACAAGTTCTCTCCTTCCAAGTAATCCCCCTGAAGTCTAACACACTGTCCCAGCCTTCTCTTCACGCCACCATGCACTCCTGGAAGGATTCTTCCAGGAGCCTCCGCAGCTCCGTCGTCACAGCCATCTTGCCGTCGTCGACGTCTTCAAAATCGGTTTGAAATCTATCTTTTGTGACATCAATCCTGGAACTTTTGCTGACACACCTCGTAAATATTCCAATACCAACTCTGGGTCAACATGACATTGGACTTACGACATGGAAGACAGCTGTTGGCTTCCTGTTTACAACTAACAGCCAAAATTATACTTTTAAAAAGCATAGTAACTGCATAAAATAACCAAATTTAATACTGCCAACACGACAACAAAAGTTCCCCAAATGTATTTCCATTTAAACCCAAACTACACACATCATTAAGCTGTTTTTGTGCTTAAACCTCAAGACTACTTTGTTCGTCTTATCAGCGTAACTTCATCATTACTCTCTATTGTACAAACAGACGGAACAATGGGATAGTTTTTAGATTTAGGACAAACTCTCCAGCAATAGCCTCAAGATCTTCATGCAGTTTGCTGAAAAGGAACGTCCTTCATCACAGCTGACAGTGTGACTACACCTGTAATGTTACCGGTTCTCTCTCTGCCGTCTCCTATTACAGTCATGGACCGCTTTTGTATTTGTAGTTTGATATCAAAAATTTTCAACTGACACCACTAAAATTGTTACTGTCTGCCAATTTCCAACAGCGGGGCTTCAGTCTCTGTGGTGTGAAGTCATTCAGGTTTGTTCAGCAGAACTAGTTTCCTAATATATACAGACGTTTTGGTGCCTCACAAGAAACAACAAAAGAAGTTTAGGACAGATGTTCAGTTCAAAAGGTCACAAACACAGATAGTTCTTGCTAATAATCAAAAATACATACATCGTGTTGATTGAATTGCTCCACAACTAGATCTTCCTCCTCCTCTTCTTCATCCTCTCCACCTTTCACCTCTTCCTCGACAGCAGCCACTTCTTCTTCTTCTTCTTCTTCTTCTTGAGTGTCAGCCTCCTTTTCTTCTTCTGTGGTCTGAACTGACAGGACGGAGGTCGATGGAGCAGCCTGATGGCCGACAGGCTCATCCTCCTCCTCCTTCACCTCCTCTGACATCTCCTCATCTTCTTCCTCCTTCATCTCCACGACGACGCCTTCAGTCTCCACGTCCAGAGACACGAGGGGAGTCTTCAAGGAGCTCAGCACCTCCTGTAGGAAGGAGCTCTCCTCCTCCCTGGTTTCGTGAACTCCGTCGTCATCATCTTCTCCTCCCGATGCCGAATAGCTTTCATCCTTGTTGTCCTCGGCTTTATCGGAGAGGCCTGGAGAGTCCAGCGAGTCCAGCGAGTACCCTCTGGGAGCAGCAGGGGGCTCTGGTGTGGCTCTAGAAGCAGAAATCAAGATGTGAGACTGATAAGAGAACAAAACAAAAACAAGCTGCAGCGCTGGGAGGAGGAAGTAACGTCTAATCACCTGGGACTGTCGGCGGAGGAGGCCCTGGAGCTGGGCTTGGAGGAGGGCCGGGGCTCCGAGGCTTCCTCCTCTGAGAGAGTCGGCTCAGGAGGACAGGAAGTGTCCGGGCTGTGAGAAACTTCCTGTTCTGCCGGCGACTCGTCCTCTTCCTCCTCCCTCTGCTCTTTATCTCTCAACAGGGATTCTCTGAACTGTTTCTGTTTCTCCTCATCATCTTCCTCCTCCTCGTCGTCTCCTCTTTCCACTTTTGGTTTCAGCTGATCGACAATCACATCTGATTCACAGACAGAAACAAAAGTCATGAATCAACACGATAAGAGACGAATGCAGCGAGGATATGGAAGTCTGTGGCTGCCAATGTAAAAGTGAAAAAAATCTAATTAAATTAAAGTTTCATTATCAGTTTGTGTCTGTGTGATGCATGACAAAATTAAAAATAAAATCTAGCTTCAATTTTCTAACTTGAATAGTTTTCCAAAATAAAAACAAAAATGCTGAGTGCTCACCAAAACATTTCATCCTAATTATGATAATTAAATACGATGGTTTCTTTCAAATTGCAAACCTTTTTGAGTCTTAATTTTAATCATTATTTTAGTTTTTCAGATTCTTTCAGGATGTCATTTTTCAAGATTTCTTGAAAACAGTAAAACATCCATTTTTATTTTTTATTTTTTGGTAAATTATGTAAATAGGTCAATTACTGCAATTATAATTTAAAGTTTAGGTTGACAACTGTTAGCACATTTGAACTATAATGTTGTCATTTAAGATACATTTGAAAAACTATGGAATGTATTTTTCCAATATTTTTAAGATTATTAAAACTTAATGTTGTCAGGTACTACGCACACTGAGGTGGAATATAAGAGTTCAGTTTGACTAAATGCTTTCATTTTAATATTGGCACTCAAAGACTTCCATACATGCATACTTATTGATTTAAAGTTACACAAAAGATTTGAGCAGAATAAACCCGATAAAACTGACCGTCTATCCTCCTTTGCTGTCGCTCCTCCAAAGCTTCCGTCTCTGGTATGGAGGTGGTCAACGTCTCCTCCATCACGGAGTCTCCTTCTGGTTTCCCCTCCAACCGCTGCACAGACACAAGACATTGACAGTAAATCAGCATCATCAGTTACACTCAGGTGGTGCGTTATGATAAAATCAGAGAGAACTGTAACCAGAAGAGCTACAAAATCTGTTCCACTGGTTCCACCGTGCAGTGAGACAGAACACTGGTTGCGTGCTTGACCATGAATTTTGACATTCTGTTTGAGAAAGCAGCCAAAACCACATAACTGGCTAAACCAAATATGTAAATAAAGGTGTTAAATATGATGGAAATGTTACTTCTGGGAGGAAGCTGAGCCCACAAGCAACTTCTACCGTACGTGGAAAACAACATTTACAGTAGATTAAATGATAAATAGATGAAATCAGTTCCAACTCTGTGGTAGATGCCACACACCACCGAACAACCAGACACAAGAACAGTTTCTGTCCACGGGCCGTCACTCGGATGAACATTTAAATCAGTCAGGACCAGCTCATTCTGATCCCTGAACCACTTTATAACCTGTACACACTGTATATCACATGTTGGTTTATATTCATCCCGCTGCTCTCTGTCCCATTGCACTCCCACTGAACGCATACAGGTGTCAAAAACTTTCTATTTGTTGTTTACAAATGTTCTCTTACACCCATTTTTAATGCTGTAACTTGCTGCTCTTATTTAACAAGCAATGTTTAAATATTTAACTGGTATGTGTTCACATAAGCAGCCCAAAAAAGCTCATTCTGATTAATAAAATCTTCTTTTTTACAACTTGAGTCTATGTGTTGCTCTGCTGACAACTACTTCAAGTGGAAATAATAATAATATACTCATCCAGTTAATGACTGAGATGTGGAAAAGCTTCAGTTTAGTTAAAAACAGGTCTAATTTATGACAAACAAACCAGTGGTCAGTGTGAAGTATGAAAGACTTGGAGGTAAATCACCCCGACTGTTTGCTGTAAGCTGACTGGATCGACCGTATTTGCATTTATTACAACATTTGCTTTCAGTTTAGTTGAAATAATCTGTCTAAACTGTTGGCTTTCCCGTTGATTGTCCCACTGCTCGTGTTTCCTAAAACTTTACACAGTCTCAACAATCGCCGATGCCAAACAATAGGAAACAAATATCCAAAACTCTGAAAATAAGACCCAGTCTTGTAATAAACCCTCGTTTACTGGGTGCACCAGCGCTTGTGTTTGTGTGTCTTACGCTGGCAGGCTTCCTCTTGTTGCAGGCTTTGTGTCTGAGGCCCAGCTTGTGTTTGGCAGCGGAGTTGTCCAGACAGACGAAGGGACTGGCCGGCTGGCTGAAGTCTCCCGGAACCACCAGGGGGCTCACTGCTCTGCTGGAGGCTGCACAGGACAGCTGGGAACAAGACAGGAGGCTTCACTGAGACCTTTCACACATAGATTATTAACACAGGAAACACTTGTTAAGGCTTCTCGAATGCAGGTGAACTACGTCTCTGCTGCATCTGGGCTCCAACAGCACGACGTGGATGTCAGGGGGGAAGCACTGCTGACAAAAGAACAACAACTGGAATTTGTCCACCCATGTCTCGGGGAAATCGTAACCACATGCCCCTGTATCCACAAAGTCTGTTTCCTGGAGAATCGGCTCCAGAGGGAACCGGTCACCTCGCGCACTTGAATCATCACCAGCTCGAATGTTAATAGAGAGAAGAATAGCCAGCGTTGATCACGACAAAGAAGGCAGAACGATGAAGTCGGCAGATAGGAAACGGAGCAGCAGCCGGAGAGGAGAGAGTCCAGCTGAATAAATATTAGCCGTCCTTATCTGCGGGAGCAACACTTGCTCTGTCGTCGCCGGAGAACTTTATGGTCGTTGCATTCTTTGTTATTGTGAATCTGCTGCAGAGAACGGTTACACTGCTTGAGTTAGTTCTTTAAAAGTACGTGCATATGTGATGGAAACGATGCCTTTTTAAATTTAGCTATAGTGTGAAAAAGCATATGTCATAGCATCACATGTCCAGATTGTTGCACTTTAAATTCTGTGTTTGCAAAACTTAACTTCGGCCTAAAAAACCAAAAACAAACGCACCATTTTTAACACTTTTGACCTTCATACACACAAAACCAAAGCTACGCTGCAGTCGGAAAGTACGCTCGGTTGTTATGATTTCCCCTTTAAAACTTCCCAACACCTGGATTGAGAGCCGGAGCAGCATTCAGACGAATATGAACACGGCTCTGCTTTGATGACATGTGTTTTTCGGGTCTCTGTGGGCTGGAGAGGCGGGGCGAGGCCGACTCTGAATACTATAACTACAAGCAGACATGCTGACTGCCAAAGAAACCATTGGAATGTACTGTGAACACACACACACACACACACACACACACACACAGTAGGTCAGTGGAATAACATGTACAGTACTGAGGCTGGAGAAAAGAGAATAAGAGGGTCAGAAAAACACAAGAGAGAGAAAGCAGAGGAAGAGGAGGTCAAGCTGCAGACTTCCATTTAAGGTTTGAAGAGCGGATAGAGGACCGGTTGTGATCACACACCGAGCGCATGACATCTATTTACCGCGCCACAGATGTGCGTTTGTGTTCCGAGATCACCGTACGAACTGGAACTAAAGATGAAAATCTGACATTTACTGTGGCTAATTCAAGAAGCTCTATTTATATCCGGATAGGATGTAAAAAGACGAGCATTGAATGAAGGAAAAAGCCTTTAAAGTTTCAGCCTGATGGCATCAAAGCGTGTTTAGTTGATGTTTCTCATACTTCGTCCTCGATTTCAGATGCTCATGTGGAATTAGGAGCTCGATATAGCCGCCTTGAAGCAGATTTTTTTTTTCAAGCAACAAACAAAACTCTGACACATGATGGCTTTGTACAGTAGAAACAGAC